GACCATGAAATGGTCGAGTTCAGGATCCTGCGTGGAGGAAGCAGGGCGATAAGCAGGATCAAAACCTTGGACCTCAGGAGGGCTGACTTTGCCCTCTTCAAGGAGCTACTGGGAGGAATCCCGTGGGCCAGGGCTCTCGAAGGCAGGGGGGTCCATGAGTGCTGGTCGCTCTTTAAATGTCACTTCCTCCATGCTCAGGAGCGGTGCTACTGTGGTGGAGGAAAGGAAGCAGAGGTCTGGTCAGGCTGAGGCGGTGGTAGATTCTCTGCAAGCGGCAATAGAAACGCTGCGGGAACAGTTGCGGGAAAGTAAACAGCTGCTGGAGGAGGAGAGGTGCCAAAACATAATATTGAAGGAGGAGTTAAGGAATCAGCTCCTGAGGGAGGCAGACTCCTTGGCGGAAACAGAAGTAGCGCTGGCAGAGAAACGGATATGATCGATCTATCCCCAGGGGGACCTGAAGGGAGCAAAAGAGACCACAGGTAGCCCCCTCCACATGTACCCGTTGGTTAAAAAGGAATACGTATATGAAGACGACGGTGATAAGCGTCCCCAGGTTATTACTAAAGAAATCCCTTTTGCGGCAACCGAATTGGCAAAGGTGCAAACCGCGAGAGAATCGGAGACCGAATATGTCTGCCGGGTGTCCCTGTTGGGGGGGTACGCAATCTTGTTGTCAGAAAGGGAAGTGGAAGGGTAGTGGGGCCCAGGTGTGTTCTTAACCACCGGCGATCACCGAGCCCCGTGATCGCTGACTCAGAGGGCCACGTACTGGGCGGAGGGGTTGAACCCGCTAGAGAGGGGGGATCCCCTGGCCATAAAGGGCACGACAGATGAGTTATTGGAAAGTGTGCAGAAAGCGGCTTGCCTTCAGATAACGTATGACTGGGAACTCAAGCCTAATCTGAGCTCCCCAATGCTGCTGCCAGCAGACCCCGAAAGAATGACTCCCCTAATATGGGGGCTTCCCGATTCCCTGAAACCCATAGGGATTCAGCTGCAGGGGAGAATTCAAAACATCCCCAGCGAGGAGAGAACCACGGCTGCCCTGGAGGGGGTGGTGGCCCCTGACCGTCGGTAGCCGGGGAGGAAAGTGTGGATGTGGGGGGAGATAGCCCAAGAGCTGATTAACTATGGGAGGAAATATGGACCTGTTAACCGACCATATCCAAAGGCTGAAACCAGAGCCATGTGAGCCGCAGAACGAGGGAGTGGGCAGTTGTTTTTCTCAGGGAGAAGCCCGGATCTGGCCGGGACAGAAAAGCCCCTAAATCGGCAGGGGATCTGGCAATAAGGGCTTCGGAAGGGCATTCCCTGGGACCTAATGGATGGACTCCGGACCAAGAAGCTGGAACGGCTTGTGCAGAGATGGTCAGGGCAAGAAATTAGTTTTGAGCCAGGTCCTAGTGCCCCACCTTTGGTGAATCTGGGGGGGAACAAAATAGGGAGAAGATGGTGGGAAACTAAATCCTCTGTCCCCCCTGGGTGAGGGGGGAGGTGGAGGGTGGATGTTTGTAAGACAACTCACCTGCAATAACAAAGGGCATTTATTGATTATGGTGGTGGTAGGGCCAAAGAGGAGACCAGTAACCTTTTTGGTTGACACCGGAGCACAAATTACTGTGCTAAGCCGGGTCGAGGAGGAACGGTGTGGAATTTCAGTCCCGTCCAAAAGCCTGATAGTTTTAAACGCCTTGGGGAAAACTCAGATAGTGCCCATGACTCTGGTGACATTCTGGCTACCGGGGGAGGAAGACCCCGTGGACACCATGGTAACTGCGGGACCTTTCAAATGAACCTTTTAGGCATGGATGTTTTAAGGGGTAAACAGTGGTGTGATACCCGGGGAAATTCGTGGTCCTTCAGTGCCCACCAAATTAGACAATTGGCTAAAACCCCCAGCGCGGAGGTGCGTCTGCTACAAGCGGCGCCTGCCCTCCCCCCTTCTAAATTAACGAATGTGAAACCCTACCCACTGCCGTTGGCAGCCAGGGCAGGCACAGCCCCGGTGCTGGCAGAGCTGCGGGAACAAGGAGTGGTTGTTCCCACCCACTCGCTTTACAATTCCCCAGTCTGGCCGGTGCGAAAGCCGAGCTCATTAGCACCATTCAGGAGCACCCGCACCGGATTCTGGCAACTATTGATGTCAAGGATATGTTCTTTATGGTTCCCCTTCAACCCGAAGATCAAACCCGTTTTGCTTTCACCTGGGAAGGACAGCAGTACTCTTTCACGCGGCTTCCCCAGGGCTATAAGCACTCCCCCACCTTAGATCACCATGCCCTAGCGCAGGAATAAGAAGCGATCCCCATACAAGAGGGGGTGAAGATTTATCAGTATATAAACAATGTGCTTGTGGGAGGGAGTCAGAGAGAGGAAGTTGGGGAGGTGCAGCGGGACATTATTACCCATTTAGAATGTATAGGATTGACGATTCCACCCGAAAAGATACAAGCCCCTTCTAGTGAAGTGAAATTTTTGGGAATCTGGTGGAGGGGGGGAATGACTTGTCCCTGATTTTTCGATTATTGCTAGACCTTTGTATGATTTACTGCGGAAAAAGGCCCAATGGGAGTGGATCCAGGTCCACAATGAGGCGTTATGGCTGTTGGTGTTTGAGGCAAATGCCTACCAAGCCGTGGGACCTATCCATCCGACAGATCCAGTCCAAACTGAATGGGGGTTTGCCCGAACTGGGCTCTCAATTCATTTGTGGCAGAAGGGACCACAGGGGCCCATTCGGTCCATTGGGTTCTATTCATGTGGTTTCAAGGTTGCTGAAAAAAGGTACACAACTTGGGAAAAGGGCCTATTTGTAGTTAGTCTAGCTTCGAGAGAGGCTGAACGAACTATCCGACAGCAGCCCATAATCCTTTGGGGCCCATTTAAAGTGACCAAAGCAGTTTTAACGGGAACCCCACCCCCTGATGGGGTGGCTCAAAGAGCCTCTGTGCGGAAATGGTATGCCCAAATAGAGCATTATTGTGAGATCTTTTCTGTATCTGAAGGAGCTACTAAAGTGCTGGATATACAGGATGAGGCAGACCTAGATAAGGATGTGCCCCAGCTTGCTCCTGTGATACAAATAGCTCCCCCATTTTCTGAACAGTTACAGAACGTACGGTTTACAGATACTTCATCGAAACGAGAAGGAAAGATTTGGAAGTATCGAGCTGTGGCACTTCAGGTCGGGACTAAGGAACAAATCATTACTGAAGGGGAGGGCAGCGTGCAGGTGGGAGATCTAACTGCAGTGTGGAGTGTATTCCAGCATGAGGCCCAAGCTGCTTCCCCTGTATATATTTATACTGACTCCT